AAGGGGGAGGGCTGTAACACCTCTGGTGATAGGCTTGCATAATTGCACTTGCATTTCATGAACATGAGCATTATTCATCCATTCATGAGCATATATCACCTGAAACATATTATCGAAACATATGCAACATTCGCAAATTCTATTTGTATTCATACTTGAATTGCTTGTGAATGGTAGTAATGCAACATGAGTTTCTCATACCTTGCAACATGTGCAACTCGCTTTAGTGGAATCTAGCTAGTTAGTACGAGGCAACAAGATCATGAAACATGTGAAACAGGACCTTGAAACAAATGTAGCATTTCAATTGTTTTTCATCGTTTCAATGCATTATGTGCTTGATTCTTGTGTGACCAATGTGTGGTATGGCTAAATATATTTTTAAACACCTTAGCTATGCTTAGAAAGTCATTAGGAACAATGTTCATGTTAAAAACTTTGCCTAATTAAGTTTTCAAATAGTGGTTGACTTGTTTTGACTCCTAAACTCTTTGGTTTGACTGTTTCAAAAGTGCAACTTAGAGTCTATGCATGCCTGAACAATCTAAAGTAAAGTTTTAGCAAATTTAATAAGGAACAAACTTTGTTTAGAAGCCAAGTCATGAAAATGTGCACAACATGTTCAAAAGGGACCCACAAGTCAGAAGTGAAAGCTGATTCAATACTTAGCAAATTTTCTAAGTCCTAACTGCAATTTCAGTTGGATCAAGCCAACTTGGGCTTGATGTAACTTCGTATCCATGGCAAATTAGAGGATTGGCATTGAAAAGAAGTTGTAGATGAAAGGTAGGTCTACAATTTTCATGTACGTTTCTTTCGCTAACTCATCATGGTTTAAGAGAACAAACGTCATCAAGTCGCGCTGTCAGGCTGATCTAAGGAACTGAATGCGCGCTACAGTGATCACCGTTTCAGAAAACGTCCGACGCGTGGGTGACACTCGTCGCTGGCCTTTTGCTCGCGCTGCCACGCGCCACAGGCTTCCTGGCGCTGCTGGTCACGTCTTGAGCACCCCGCGCGCCTGCCCGACCGAGTCGCCTGCTCCATTTGCTTTCTTTCGCTTCCACAGCGCGCAGCACCGAAGCCACCGCAGCCCCTCCAGTTCCGACCGAGCTTCACCGTTGCCGTTTGAGCTCGCCACTGCAAAAATGCGCCGGCCGTCTTGCTCCTCGCTTCGCCGTGATCCCCTCTACCACCTCCACCGTTCAATCGAGTCAATCGAGCCTTGGTAAGGGCGAAATCACCGTTTTCTTCCACCGCCGCCATGGCTGACCTCGCCAGAGATGGCGCTCCACATGGACAACCGCCACCGTGGCCTTCTCGTCCTCTCTCTCTCTCGTGCTAGGTCCTAGGTGCAATGCTGATGCTCGTAGAGTCACCCACTAGAGCCGTAGCGTCGTCACCTCGCCGGAGCATCGTCGGACCGTGCCGCCGTCCGCCATTCACGCTGTCGTCCTTGTTGGGGATCAGTAGAGTTTGAATTGAGGGCTTAGATAGGTGCGCCTTGGTGTGGGGAGCGCGCCTGAGCCGTCGGGTTCGCCGGAGAGGTCACCGGCGAAGAGCTTCGCCGCCGCCCTGTTCTCCTCCCCTGGCTGTCTCTCTGTTGGGCGGGACCCGCGCGTCAGTCGCAGCGTGCGGAGGCGGGAGCCAGCATGGGCCGCGCCATTTCTGGGCCGCGCCAGCGTGCGTCGCGGGCCGCCGTGATTTTTTTTCCGGGCTGGCCCAGTAGCTGATTAGGTTTTCCTTTATGTTTTGTTTATTTTGTTTTTCACAGATTTGTGTGCATGATTCAAAAATGTGTAACTCAAGTTTGGTAGATCCAAATGTTATGGTTCCAATTTTGTTGAGTTCCTAGTAATGTCTAGTATTTAATAAAAATATTATATGAGCACATGTTTTAGAAATTTTGGATGAATTAAATAGGACTTTGAAATGTGTTTTTAGATGCATGCAAACTTGTTTGAATTTTATCTTGAGTTGCTGTGGTCTAAAAATTATGAAATTTTGTGGGTAATCTATTTTTGCTTAGTAGAAGCTCTGGTTAAAATTTCAGAGCTAGTGCATGTGTAGTTTTTGAGTTATAGAATTTCCTTTTATCAATGGATGGATCTGGTGTGAATTTTCATAATTTTTCTATAGATCCAATAAAGGTAAAAATTGGTGAGTGCTATTCTTATGCTAGAAAGATACTAGGAAAAATGTGAAATCTGTTACTTGACACTTTTAACTAAGGTTTCCTATTTATGCCTTTTTAAGTAATTATGCCTTGTCATTTTTGTGTAGGCTATTTTACTTTTCTAAATGCCATGAAAATTTCATGGTAGTCTACTTAGAGTAGTACTAGGCTACTGTAATTTTCTTAGATTTTTACGAACACTAGAAATGTATGTTGCTGTTGTAGCCCGAGTTTAAAATAAAATAAAACAATCTTCTTTAATGCGAGTTAATTAATAATGTTCACTTTGGTGTATGTTTGAAGCATCTTAGTTTGCTGTGGTGATTTGGCATGTTAGTACAGTGGTTGTTGTAGTAGATAGTAGTACATGTTCTTTTGATGATGTTAACTACCTTGTAGAAGAGCGTTGCTACGATTATGTCAAGTGAAGTTAAACATGCTCATCCACTTTTCATGAATCATGATCATTTCAGGTCATCTCTCCGATGCACCTATGCATTAGCACTTATACATCTGCATCATACAGGATCGCAGGAGGAGTTGCTAGTAGCGGTTTAGGAAGAACAGACCGGGACCGATCCACAAGAAGTTCAGGCACAGGAGGTGCCAGAGGAAGAGGAGCAAGGAGAGGACTTGCCCGAGTGCGTGGATCACCAACCTAGTTCGTTCGAACGAGGTAAGCTCCGGAGCATTCTAAGTCTCCTACTTTATAAAAGCAATTCTTTCTATATATATATGAGTTTATATATTGTTGCATTAAGTTGTAGGAGTTGATTGAAATCGTTGATGCATTTATTACTATCCTTGCCTACCTTATTACCTTTTACCCTGTTAGGTCAGGATCGAATAACTGCTTAGCCTTGCTTAAACCGGTAGCGATTGGTGATACTCGATGACCTACATTATAGGTGGTTACTAGAAGAATTTAGCTATGGAAAGAATGATATCCTGGAATTAACCATGTGTGATGGATAATTGGAGACCGGACGGAAAAGTTGGAGGCAACCAAACAGGGTTCTGGGGTGCTGTTAGTTTCCGTCTGTGTCGATTAAGGACCGATCGTTGCTCGTCCCTCTTGTCATGTTGAACGCATGCCTCGCATTTAGCTGGCCGAATAAAGTACCTTTCGACCGCGAAGCTAGTGGCACTATTCGGGCCAGGATCTACACAAGTGCGCGTATTGGTGCTGATGGGGGTATGACAGGGGCGCGAAGAGTGAGCCCAAGGCAGGTGTGACCTGATTCCTGGCAGTCGGGCGGTCCCTGGGTACTGCGGCTCCAGATTATCCCGCGGCTACCTGAAAAGTGTTATTGGTGATCTGTAACTCACTTGATCGGTGAGTGTGGTTTGTGTGAGGAATAAATCACCAGCTGGTTAGAAATCGATTCGAATCGCCATCGCTCCTGGATAGTGAGCACTTGACTCGAGCTACGGCATCGTAGTAATTATGATGGAACACTAATGGTTATTTGGAGGATATGAGTTATGCTGAAGCTAAATTGGTAACTGGATGTTATTGTTTAATCATGTGATTGCCATAGTACAGGTGCTTACCTAGATGGATAGGTTATAATAAAGATGATGCAAAGTATTTAAAATGGTTTGTTCATGATAACTTATGCTTTCACAAAAAGAGTCAGCTAGCCCACTAAAAAAAGCCTTGCATAATCCTTGGTGTCGTTTTATTTTGGTTTAAGACGGGTAAGTCTAGCTGAGTACCTTCTCGTACTCAGGGCGTTGTTCCCATTGTTGTTGCAGATGGTCAAATGTACTACGGCTATTGCATTAACTGCCTGTATCCGGCGATGAGTGACAACTAGGACCAAGGGCAAATGGCCACTCCGTATTTCTCATCTAATGCTTTTGTTGGAGATGACTACCTACTAGCACTGTATCTGAATCAAAAGTGTGTGTGTGGCTTTAAAACTATTTGCTTCCGCTATTTCAGTTTGAACTTGGTATGTAATAACTTTATGTTCTAAACTCTGATGTATCTACTGTCGTTGTGAACTTTATGTAACGTATGACGGTACTCGCTAAACTTGTACGATCTTGGTTTGTATGTCGATTGGTTTGAAATCCTTCGTGATTTCACGGACTACCGGGTTATACGGGCTTAAGTTTGCTAAATTATCTGCTTCGACAGAAGATTTTCTTACTTAATCTCGTATAATTGGTCGGTTCTGTTACAGCAGTGACGCGGAGGGAGTGCGCACTTTAGAAGATACGGATGAAGGACGTCGTGCCCTACATGGCAGAGCTAGAGGTGATAGTAGCGGTGTTTGAGGAGAGGTCGACGAGGTGGAGAAGACGAACCACAACTGCTATGGGTGTTCACACACTAAACAAAATTTGATCTTTTGATACAAACAATTATTTTATTTACACTTAAATCTTTAGTCGAATAAAATTAGTATATGTTTTTTATTAACCTGGTTGTAACGCACGGACAATTTTGCTAGCAGAGCTTATAACATGTATAAGCCGAGCTCCGGTAGATTAGACCAATTGATTACGATTTGATGGCTTAGGGACTTAGGGTTATAAGCATGATGTCAACACGATTTGGGTTGCACACAAGAGGAAAACGAGTCCAACGGCCAACGAGGTGCTTTGCCACGAAGCAAAACCAGTTTCCTCCCCACAAATAGAGAGCCCGTCCCCTCCCAGTTTTCCAGCGAAGCACAGGGCCGCGCAATCATCTTCTCGGCTTCCTGGCTCGTGGGTAACTCAAACTCAACCAGCGAAGCGTGTCCTATTCTTCTTCCCTCCCCACCTTTCCCCAACCTCTCATCCCTCCTGCAAATCCGATCTCCCCGCGATCATGCGCAACTCCGCCGCCGCCCAGACCCCTCCTCCCGCCTCCTCTACCGCCACGTACGCCTCCTCCTCCGCCGCCATGTACGGCTCAGGCGCCGCCTACGTCGCGCCCGCCTCTTCCGCCCCCGGCGGCGGATACACCTACCCGGCGCCCGCCTCCTCCGGGGGCAGCAGCAGCGCCGGGTACGCCAAGATCCCCCAACCTACCCGGCGCCCCAGTCGGCGTACCCTAACCCCAACCCCAACCCTCCCCCGACGCAAGTCTCCACCCACGCCGCCGCGGTCCAGGACCCCACGGCGCCGCCGTCGCCGCTGGCCAAGGCGGGCGAGCTCGTCACGCGGCTCCGCGAGCAGGGCCAGGCGCTCATCGCGGCGCGCCGGCCCTGGGCCGAGGTCTTCCGCGCGCCGGCCTTCTCCAAGCCGCCCTCCCTCGGGGAGGCGCTCGCCCGGATGCGCCGCAACACCGCCTACTTCCGCGCAAACTACGCGCTGGCCGTGCTCGCCGTCGTGGCGGCCTCGCTGCTCTGGCACCCCGGCACTCTCTTCGTGCTCCTCTTCCTCTGCGCCGCCTGGTTCTTCCTCTACTTCGCGCGGCCCGCGCAGGGGGGCCAGCCACTCAGGGTCCTCGGGATGGAGTTCGATGACGGCACCGTGCTCGCCGCGCTCTGCGGGGTCACCGTCGTCGCCATGCTCTTCACCAGCGTTGGCTGGAACGTCGTCGGCTCCGTCATGATCGGGGGCGCGCTGGTCAGCGCGCACGCCGCACTAAGGACCACCGACGACCTCTTCCTCACGGAGCAGGAGGCCGCCGGGGACGGCCTGGTGGCCACTGGCATGAGCGCCGCCGGGCCCATCTTGCCCACCTATGTCCGCATTGGTTGATCCGCGCAGCTGGGCGTGGTGTATTCACCATGGTTTGCCGTCTTTATGCAGTTCAGCAATCTTGATGTTATTGCTTGCAGATAGTAGCAATTTTCCTTGTAATTACCATCACGATGTCTAATATTGGTTGTGGGTGTGTAAGCATGTATATTTGTGGTGAAACAAGTGCAATGATCATGTGAAATCATTGCTGGATTCAGTTGGTGTTTGGAATGGTGGTGTTCGAATCTGTTATATCTCAGAATGATAACTGCGATTTTGCCGGCACATTCTAGTGCTCAATTCTCTGTGAGTTATCTAAATTTCAATAACTTTGAGTGGTGTATAATGTACATCCTCATGTATCTGACTTGCCATAGATCCATCCTCTACAATCCTGCAGTGCATGTTTATGTGCATGTCCATCACCTTTGACCTTCACTGTATCTCTATTATATCGATATATGAACTGTATCTGTTGGTAATGTGAAAATCCCGTCGTTTCCTTGATCTTGTGTTCTCTTTTGTAGTTCTGTATGGGTGCCGCTAAATTTGGGACTACATCTGTAATGTATTTTCTGTCAACCTGGGTTCTTTCTCCCTTGTGTGATTGAATGCTGCCTGAATAGCTGATTGGCATTGCCTGAAAAACATTGGAGAAGCAGTAATAATCGAAAACGAAGGAAAACATCGACATTGCCCAACTGGGTCATTCTTATATGTACTGTAGCAGTTAACTATATCATCAGTTTTGGTGACATTTTGCTGTGACAGTTATCTATTTCTGAACTCACGGTGGGATAATCTCCGTGTTCCTTCTGCATAATCCAGAGGCAAAAGGTGCACTCACGGTGGGATTTCATTTTCAAATGCTATTCACTTTTTTGTCAATTTGTAGATCTCTCTATAGTCTCTATTGCCTGAATGCTCTGATATGTCGATCTCTAGCAGCAACTCTTTTGTCCTGGTTTTGCTGAATTTCTCTATCCTGCACAAGTTATACTCATTCTCTCTGTGTCCCGTGGTTTGCTGGGGCACATGTTCGGCTGCTGGTCAGATCACTGCTGTGCAGCCATTCTACAGAATTTTGCTCTCACAAGTCACAAGGAGATGTTCTGATGTAGCGGCAGCAGTGGCAGCCCTGCTTTAAGGGCAGCCGTTAGCCTATGAAACAACTGTTGCCAGGACAACAAGCTGTATTGCACGTATTCAGCATGTTCGTCTGTGATTTTTCTTAGCTTCGGCGGCACGTTGTAAAAGGATATCAATTTGCTGTTCGCAGCCAGAGCTGCAACTGCAACTGCAGCCGTAAAAAGCTGCAGTGAGTGCGTACCCATGGTTTCTCGTCGGAGTCAACGAAAAGAAGCTTCCTTTGGTTAATTTTACCACGGCCTCATTTAGTTTGTCCGAATCGGCGCCACCGAATGCACTGTAGCTACACTGTTTGAAATTTGTTGGGAACTAAACACCCCCACGCTTCTAGTTCTAGGGTATATTCTTACTTGATCGGGTCAGCTTATTCTTAGCTGATAGCAGAAGGAAACTAGCTAATAGATTTTTACTAGCTGGATTATTAATGAGCTAACCTAATAGCTAAGTTCCGTTGGATCATCTAGCTAATATAATTAATACTATTTAGCTAATAATCTCGCTAATATTTTTTCATTATTATCTACAGCTCATTTGGAGCTATTAGCTGGGCTATTAACTGAGGTGTTTAAATCCACTAACAACCTGTTTGGCAGGGCTCCCGCGGGCTCCGCTCCTGCCTGTCGGCCGCCCACGGACCGATAGGTGCCAGCAGCAGCCGGAGCCATGGAGCCCGAAATACCAGCTTGTCCGGCTCCGGCGTCGTTAGTGTGAGAGAGGAAACGAAGAGAGAGAAAAACGGCTCCGATGAACAGTAGGGGCCGACAGGTGAACAGAAGCCGGAGCCCGTGGGAGCCCTACCAAACGGGTCCTAAAGCTAATTTTGGCATCTAACTATACGCTTGTGGGATCCGTGCTTACTGTAAGCATCAAGTGACGTTCAACAGCAGATGATCAAAGTCAACACCGCGGCCTCGGCTTTGGCCGTGTTTAGTTCGCGAAATGAAAATTTTTAATGTCACATCGGATGTTTCGGGGATGTTGGAAGGGGTTTTCGGATATTAATAAAAAAAACTAATTACATAGCTCGCCTAGAAACTGCGAGATGAATTTATTAAGTCTAATTAATCCATCATTAGCGCGTGTTAGTACGGTAGCACTTATGGCTAATCATGGACTAATTAGTCTTAAAACATTCGTCTCGCGATTTCCAACCAAACTGTGCAATTAGTTTTTTTTCGTCTATATTTAATACTCCATGCATGTGCCGCAAGATTCGTTGTGATAGTTTGGGGTGAAAATTTTTGGAACTAAACCAGGCCTTTGCTTCGCTCGTAACAAAGGCCGCCTCGCTTTTTTGGCACTGTAGCACTTTCGTTTGTATTTGACAATTATTATCCAATCATTGCCTAACTAGGCTCAAAAGATTCGTCTCGTAATTTACAATTAAATTGTGTAATTAGTTATTTTTTATTTACATTTAATACTTTATGTATATATCTAAAGATTTGATGTGATGGAGGAAGAGTGAAAAAACTTACAATCTAAACAATGCCTTGGAAGCGAAGCGAAGAGATTCGCAGGCACGTCCTTTCGCTGGGCCAGCTGCTCGTCACCGTCCGTCAGGCGTCAGCAACGGGGGCCTTGTTTAGATCACCTCCAAATTTTAAGTTTTTTCACTCTCTTTTAATCACATCAATTTTTGAACGTATGCATGGAGCATTAAATATAGGTAAAAAAAATAACTAATTACACAGTTTGGTTGTAAATCACGAGATGGATCTTTTGAGCCTGGTTAGTCCATAATCGGACAAAGTTTGTCAAATACAAACGAAACGTGCTACAGTGTCCAGGTTGCAAAAATTTACAATACAAGGCCGGGAGTCGGGAGTTGGGAGTCGGGAAGCAGTCCAGGGCTCCAGGCATGACGTGGAGCGTGGAGCTCAAGCCTCAAGCTCAAAAGCTCGTGAAGCGTTTCTGCTGCACGCACAGCTCCAGCTTCACAGCCGCGCAGTATGGCTGTGAACTGTGTGCGCCACCTTGGCATGCAAGCCATGCTGTGCAGCAGCCAGCAGGTTATGCTTTGCCGTTGCCGTAGAGACAGTTACCGTTCAAAGTCAAACCACGAGATAGAAACAGCCGGAGCCGGCCGGCCAGCCGCCAGCAGCCCTCAGACTTCACCCTTTCTAGCAGGCACTGTGCGCTGCCTGGCACGGCAATCGGCGAACGAAGAATCACGGCGCAACAACACGAGATCGATTTCACCCTAGTAACTTTTTCCGTCAGAAATGTCGAGTAAACACGGTTGTTTAAAGTGCTTAATATAACATCATTTACCACAGACTGCAGGTAGACTAACTTCTTTCCCCTCTCCCTCTTTACAAAAGTCTAAGAAATGAGTACGATCCAAAGGAAAGTCTAAGAAATGAGTAAAAAAAAACTGTAGTGGTAATTTCTTTCTTCTGTTTTATCCTAAACGGCTAGACTGATTGAGGATGGACAAAAGCGGACGGAGCAGTGCAGTTCAAGGCTCCACGGCGGTGCAGTCACCCATGCAGACCGCTTCAGGAGGGCTCCGGAGGCACGGCGACGGTGCTAGGCACCGAATTAGGGCGGTGGCGGCGACGGTAGCCCAGCACCATGACGAACTCGTTGGCTGGCGTGCCCACCAACGCCTCCACGGGCTCTGTCGACTGTCTACGATGCCACAGTTCCATCAGCCCATGCAGCGTGCTCGAGGGGCAGATCGGCTCGCCATGGCAAATGATCTCCACCTGCAGTTGGATTGGAGAGGAACAGGGATCAGATTAAAATAAAAGGATGGAATCAATCAGAATTACTGTCATCTACAGCAGAATTATTAGCGCCTTCTTTGCATGAACTCAAAGCATCAGTGCAAAGAACAGAAAGATACTAAGGCGTTCAAGTATATGGATGTCACGCAGAAGGAATGTGAAATAGGTGACAAAAAGGCTAATTTGCAGCGGACAGGAGAACACAATTCGCCATTTGAATCTTGTGGCTCTATCCATGGCAGGGCTACTCTGAAACTGACTCAGTGTATTGCTAGTGGTCTTTCACATTTGCATGGTTGATGTCTAATTGTCTATGTAGATCCGGTACTCTAAAACAAGTCCACAAGTGGCCAGCTCAGTATTTTATTGTGATTAATAACAAAAATGGAAGTGTAGCAACATCTGAGTAAATCACCTCATTTTCATTAGCTAGATCCAGTTTCTTCATGATGTACCTCTGTACCGAGGAAATCTGCAAACTGCTGTCTCTGAAACAACGACAAAAATTAAAAACGAAGAAAGGAATTAAATGTCAGGGAGAAGAACACATGCTAGTAGAATGGCCCAAAGAAGTTCCTAAGACATTTACATCATGGTACGTTGAACAAAATACCAGAGCTCAAACTAATCAGGAGATGCCAGGATGGTAACATTACTACAGTCATGTAGTCTTGAGAAGAAATATTATTAGCATCACGGTACGTTGAACAGCCTGGAGCAGACTAATAGGGCAAAGAATTGGACAGCTCTAAACTATGAACAAGAGCTTCCGAGAATGGCAAGAGTCAAAAGAAATTACAGGACTAAATGGAACTCACTTGATTCTCATGTAAGTCTTTGATAACTGAGGCAGTTGTGGATCTTCTTTCCTGAAAACCAGTTAGCATTTTGACTTAAAACTCAGAAAATGACATAAGATTATCATCACAATCATTAGTTCACTATGAATACTATTTTTTACAGAGTTTCCTCAGCTTTTAAGAAAGCAACAGTTCACTATGAATACTTACTGGTTAGGCAAAGAAATTAACGAGAACCACACCGGAGTAGTTATTGGATCATGCAAATCGCTTGCAGAACCAAGCGATCCTTGGTAAGAATCATCCGCTGTTGTTGTTTTATCTTTCAATGGTGAAG